ACGAAGGCTTTTTCAAAAAATAGCCAGTAACTCAAAATTCTGCCTAAGAAATCACCTTTAATGTTCTAATAAAAAAATTCCTTGCAAAATTTTAGTATATACTACACCTTACTCCTAACCTTAACATCATGACTCTCGCGCGTTATTTGTGCTAATAAAAAAAGAGATATGTTTTGTTTTTTTCCTTTTTTGGTTTGTATCACCTGCGCAAATAAGTAATGTTAAATGGAATGTCTGTCCACATAACACTTGTACACTGGAAAATTGGATAATTATGTAACGAAATTGCGATAACCGGCAATTAAGGTCTATAAACCCAAGATTATAGACAATGGAGTCGAAATAATAACATATGAAATACACGGTAACCAACGCGAACGATTTAGCGAAAGACATGTCGAAAATGAAGTATAAGGAGTTCGATCTTGACGATTACGAACGAATAAGAAGCACGTGACATAATCAAAGCTTTTGCTGGGATGCGGATTCGAGCGGATCTCATCCTCGAAGGGAAGGAATATGTTACGCAACAAAGTTTCATAATTAAACTTTCGCTTGTGTAACATATATAATTTGGAGTGTAACCTTATAATAGTCTATGCGAAGTTCAAAGCATACTTTAATTAGACTTTATATCGTTATACGACTTAACTGTAAATAGTCTATAGCTTAGTTAAAGCTTATTAGTAGATATTATAGAACGTCTTGTATTTTAGTTAATTAGTTAGTCTTTAGTCAGTTCTTAGTTTTTGTGTATTTTAGTTTGGGTTTTAGTAAGTTTGGAACTTGGTTAATTGAATAGGAATATTTGGAATATTTGTTACTTTAGTGTCTGAGGCACAATAAAGAGTTATTGGTTTAGTACTTTAAGGTGCCTTGTGTATGTTAATAAACAATTGGTATTTCATATTAATGCTTACGACCCTAAGCTAAATTGGCTCAGCCGATATAAATATAAAGTCTCTCCCACTGGTCGTAACAACACCCATCCGATAATATACCAGATACATTAAAAAGTCAATTGACAATTCAAACTAAAAATTGCAAGCGGGTAACGAAGTCACCCGCAACATTTAACATTTGCTAGCTTGTTATTGAAAAACAGTTTCATCTATAACATGGGTTGCTTTATATCACGTATATTATGCTAGCCATTTTACAAATTTTGATCCATACTCTATAGAAATTTATTATATTTAAGAAATAATGAGCAAGATAGACAAAACTCGAGTGTGAAACGTAACTATAAGAAATATTTATATAAATAAATTAGTTAATCTAAAAATGATATTTTTCTCCAATGATTAATATATAATTTAACTAATTCCACATCAATTTTCTGGCAATTGGAAAGTGCCAAACTACGATTTACTGATTTATGCGTTTCAAATAATGGTTCTTCACTCCTATTTGATGATTCGCTTATAGTTTTTTCAAAAAATCCCGATAATGCTGCTACTGGATTTTTATCCACGTCTTGATATTCGGGTGTTTTTAATGTCTTTAACCATTTTTTATTCGAAACAATTTTGAAATTCATTCCACTTTTTTGTAAGGATTTTAAGAATTCATCCCATGTAATTCTTTTTGGATTAAGTATATGATTAACTCGAATATAATCAATGTTGTTGTCAAATGATGCATTTAAAGAAATCTCAACGATGCTTTGAGAAGCAATGTCAACAGGGATCCAGTCAACATTTGAAATATACGAATCTGGCATAATTTTCATAACTTGTGCACCTTTTATCATAAGTGAAATGTGTTCTTTAGTGTTCCAAATACCCGTAACTGAATCACCACAAACTTGACCAACACGATGAATATCAAGCTTGAACCCAATTTTTCGAGACCATTCAGCACATATATGCTCAGTAATGAATTTTGATAAACTATATCCATTAAATATCGCACTTGAAACATCTTGAGGTAATTCATCTTCTTTAACATGCGCTTTTGACCCAAGAGATGTACTGATGCTTGATGTAAAATTAAAATGAACATTTTGATTATTAATATATGCATCGCGAGCGAGCATAAGAAGATTAACAGTTCCACCAATACATTCACGTTCGAAAGCTTCAATTTTACTATTAAAATCTAA